ACCGGGACAGAATCCGGCGCCCCGACCGGGACTAGAACGCCGTGTGCCACAAGCAGAGGATTAGCCTGTTGAGCCGCGGCGCCGGCCCTGAATGTTTTAAGTGTATTTCTGATTTGATTTGCCCTGAGGTTCTTCATGCAAGTTTCCAGGGATCGTCTTGGTTCTAATATTCTGGAATGTGGTGACAAGACCATGTCTCTCTCTCACTCCCCTTTGTAATATGGTCTTCGACTCTGCCCCTTCCTTTTTTTCTATAATAGACTTGCTGCACCCAGAGGGGAGAGGGGGCTCAGTCCTTAGCAGCAGCTTTCCTCATGGCTGCCAGGACATTGCTCACCTCCTCTTGCTTCCTTTTGGCACAGATGTATGTACATGTCCATTTCTTGATGAACGTGAAGGCCCGTTTGGGGACCTTGAGCAGTGACGTGGCACAAAACCACATATCTCTCAGATCATGTCTTTAGGGGCTTTGTATACTTTGGTGAGGTACTTGCAGCAGTGGCTGTATCTTGGCTTGCTGTGCTGTGCTCTTGGTCACCTTATGGCTCGTGTTGAGGTCCATGCCATGGGGTAGCATAGAACCATGGCTGCAGAGAGCTATGTGGAGAGAAGGTGGAGGTGAGATCCAGCTCAATCCCTGGCACCCAGTACCTCACATGCAGGCTTTTTTTTTTTTTTTTGACAGGCAGAGTGGACAGTGAGAGAGATAGAGAGAAAGGTCTTCCTTTACCATTGGTTCACCCCCCAAAATGGCCGCTGCAGCTGGTGCGCTGTGGCTGGCGCACCATGCGGATCCGAAGCCAGGAGCCAGGTGCTTCTCCTGGTCTCCCATGGGGTGCAGGGCCCAAGCATTTGGGCCATCCTCCACTGCACTCCCGGGCCATAGCAGAGAGCTGGACTGGAAGAGGAGCAACCGGGACAGAATCCGGCACCCCGACCGGGACTAGAACCCGGGGTGCCGGCGCCGCAGGTGGAGGATTAGCCTAGTGAGCTGTGGCGCCGGCCTGTGCAGGCTTCTTTGGCCTGGCGGGCTATACCCAGCCATCTTCTGAGCTGTGCAGTAGCTCAGGAGTCTGAAGGGCCACAGATCCCAGCTGCCTCTTCATTCCTTTTTAACAGCTTTCCTGAGGTCTAATAGCCCCAAACAAACTCCACGTGTTTAAAGTGCACAGTATGATAAGTTTTAACATGTGTCTACTCATGGACCCATCAGCATGGTCAGAACATTTTTAACATATACAATACCCCCAAGAATTTTCTCAGGCCCCTTTGTAATCCATCACCCTCAGCCCCAGGCAACCGCTGACCTTCTTTCTATCACTACATAGTTTTCATTTTCTAGAACCATGGTTAAATTTTAATGATTTATTAGAGAGACTGAGAGAGCTCCCATCTTCTGGTTCACTCCCCAAATGCCCACAATGACTGGGGCCGGTCAGGCTAAAGCCAGGAACCAGGCACCCAATCCTGGTCCCCCACATAGGTGGCAGGAACCCAATGACTTGAGCCTTCATCAATGCCTCCCAGGGTCTGGGGTCAGAAGCCAGAAATAGGAATCAAACCAAGGAACTCTGAGATGGGTCCCATGCGTATTAACTGGCATCTTAACTGCTAGGCTAAATGCTTGCCCCTGTTTTTCAGAATTTATAAAACTGAAATCATAAATCATGCCATGCATACATTTATTTTGGTCTGGCTTATTTCAGTTAGCATAATGATTTTGAGATCCATCCATGTTGTTGCAGGACTCAAACCCAGGCACCTTGATATGGCATGAGGGTGTCCCAAGCAGCATCCCAGCCACCACACCATCATCTGTCACATCTCACTTGCAGTGAACAGAGAACTGCCCACTTGCAGCTTGCCAGTTTGCGTACCTGTCACCGAGAAGGCAACTGTCCAGTGGAAACTCCTCTGTTGTCCCTTCTCTGAGGGCAGCACCGTCCTCTTCCCCCTGCTCTGGCATGCCTTATTGATGCCCTGATTCTTTTCTGGGATATCAGGGAGTAGATCCAGGATGACGGGGAGGGAATGTCTCCTTGAACTGACAGCTTCGGCTTGCCTCTCTCACAGAGTCGGAATGATGTTATCCGAGAGCGCTTCGGAATGGACCCCAAGCCAGAGATGCTCTTGGGCCTCGCTGCCCTCCACATCTATATCACTGTCTCAGCCACGCGGCCTAGTCAGAAGATCTCTCTCAAGAACGTGGAGTGAGTTGTACTGGGACCCCTGGGGTGGGGGGAGGGGGGAATGACTGTGCAGGCAGAAGGTGCAACGGGTGAGCTACCCTGTGCTTTTCAGGAATGTAGGCATGGGAGTGAGAATAGGCATTCCTCACCCATACACCATGATGCCCTAGAGCTACAGCTTCTGCTAGGGAACTGTGGCCAATAGTGTTCTGATCTCATCCCTCTTTTTCCTTCCCTCTGATCCTGTTCCTCCACCTCTGTGTCTCAGGTTCAGTCAGTGTCTATCTCACTGTCTTCCTCTCTGTCCTCCTTTGTCTCTCACTAATCTCTTACATTTTTTTCCACTTTCAGGAAGGAGTGGGGCCTGGAACCCTTTCTTCCCCCCTCCCTCCTGCAGGGCATCAAGGAGAAGAACCTCCGAAAATCTCTCTCTCAGCAACTGAAGGCTCACCAAACCCATCCTTCAAGTGGCTCTAAGGTATCCAGCATAGGCCACTGGGCAGTGTGCCCAGGCATTGGTGGCCACAAGGGGCTCCTGGATGGTTTCCCAGCAGGCTCCGGACCTCTGGGAATTGCCTTCACTCTGACTCAGGTGCACATCCAGCTTGCCTTGGAGATGGGGGCAGTTACAGAGATGAGTCCCCCCTCCTCCACCCCAGCCTGAGCATCTCCCAGAGACAGCTCAGTAGCATGTGGCTGACAGCACTCAGGGTCCTCATAGCAAAGGGGCCAAGATGCAGGAGAAGATAATACTGTGGCCCTTTCACCAGTTAGTCAGTACTGATTGAGCACCTGTCATGTGGAAAGCACTGGACCTGGAGGAGGATACTTTTCCACGGAAATAACTTCTCCATACCTCACTAGCTTTCTAATCCATCAATCCTGTGACATGGAGTTCTGGGAGATAAAAACTTAAGGTTGGGGAGAAGCAAAGCTTGACCTAGAGAATGGGTCGCTGGATGTCATGTCCGGGTCTCAGGTCCCTGCTGCCTTCTCTTCCACCTTGTAGGGCACGCATCCCTTTGCCCTCCGAGGGCCTCCCACACCCTACCTCCCCAAGCCCCATAGGCCCTTCCTAGGCTTGCAAGACTCAGTCTGCTTGCACTTCCTGCCAATGAGACAGGAGGGTGGTGAGCTGCACTAGAATCAGCAGGCAGCTGTAGACCTGGGACACAGCCCCAATATATTCCACTCATTCCACATTCCTTGCATTACCAACTAGCTTCTCTGTTAAGATGCAAATTTCCCCAGAGAGTTAAGCCATTCCCACCTTGCTGTCCATATTTAATCAGACTGTTTTCTTCTCAGCTGAAAGCACCACCGCTCACCATCATCTCCTCAGCTAACATTTTTTTGAGGCACCCCAGTACTCGGGCTGAAGATGCAAAGATAAAGAAGGCTTGGTCTCTGTGAGGCACTGTCTAGCAGAAAAACACAGTCATATCCCCCCCCACACACACACACACATGAGTGCTCTGATGGAGGAGAGACACACGGGCCAGCCTGGGGGATGTGAGAAAGGCCAGGAGTCCATACATTTGATGCCAGAGCTGGATCATGAAGGACAGACAGATACATGTTTGTTGAGATGAGTCAGTGAGGGTGGGGAATTGGAGGAAGACTTTCCCAGGCTGCAAGATCCTGCTGTTTGTACAAAGACCCAGAGAATATGGTGTGAGAGTCCACAGTGTGAGGTATGAAATGCAAAGAGTTCCATCTTAGCAAGAATGTAGGGGGCTAGAGTAGGAGCAAGACGGGCCATAAAACTTGGCAGGAGCTGGTCTGAGGAGGGCCTTGTGTGCAGCAGGCAGGGACTGAACTTTATCCTGTAGGCAGTGGGAGCTATTGATGGGTTGAAGCAGGACACTGATGCAAGTAACCTTATATGATTGGAGAATGCTCCATGTAACTGTGTGTTCCATGTGTCAACCGAGGGAAAGTAGTATCAGTATGGAAGGTAACCTGGCTGTCACCCTGACATAGGTGGCAATGTCAAGTCAGTGACTATGGGGCTACAGAAGAGGTCTGGATAAGTTGGAGAGGGAGTTACCAGATAGAATCAAGATGATTTGGTGACTGGTAGCCCTCAGGTTTCTAACTCAATTGCCCAGAGGATGCTGATTGATAGAGAGCCAGAATGCCAGAGGAAGCATAGGCTTGGGGCTTATGGGTGCTCAGTATTAAAGGCATTGAATGGGACTTCGAGCTGGTGGTGGCCAGTATGGGTCTGAAGGCTCTCTGGAGAAAGGTATCGATTAGGAGAGTTGTTAGAGTCAGGTAGAAGTGTTGGAATTCACCCAAGAACAGAATGAGTAAGGTGGATGCTTCAGGAATGAGGATCAAGGGGTAGGAGAAGCCTTTAGGAAGGGGGACAGGATGCAGAGAAGAGCTGCCCAAGCTGGAACCCTCCTGCAGTTGTCCCCAGGGTCCGCTCACACCGCACAGTGCAGTGTGAGGACCAGAGCTTGTCCTAGGATGGCGCAGCTCCTCTCGGAGAATGCGAGTTTGCTTTCCCCGTGCTGCTCGGGCTTCTCATATTCCATCTGTGTGCCTTGTTTCCACAGGGCTCTGCGATTCAGGCAAAGCTCCAGTATCTTCGAATTCTGAATGAACTTCCGACCTTCACAGGCGTTTTGTTCAACACTGTGGGCCTGGTCAGTGGGGCAGTGGTGGGGGAGGAGCCACGTGTTGGCATCTGTCCTTGGGTGGGGGGCAGGAGGAGCCAAAAGAGTCAGCCCTCTGTCTGTGCAGGTTCAACATCTGCAGACTCAACAAGAGCAGGTGGGGAATATTCAAAGAAAGGAAACTGCTTGTGTACTGAACATGCACAGCCATTTTTTCTTGCCATTATTCTCTAAATAATACACCATAACAACTTTTAGCATAGCATTTGCATTGTGCTAGGTATTCTAAGTCATTTGGAGATGATTTTAAAAAACACAGGAGGGTGTGTGTGAGCTTCATGCAAATACTACATCATGTTTTTTAAAGATGTACTTATGTGGTGCTGGCATTGTGGCACAGTGGGTTAAGCTGCCGCTTGGCAGCACTGCATCTCATATTGGAGTGCCAGTTCAAGTCCTAGCTGCTCCAATTCTGATCCAGCTCTCCACTAATGCCTCCAGGAAAGCAGCAGAAGATGGCCCAAGTACTTGGGTCCTTGCCACCCACGTGGGAGAGCCAGATGGATTGAGATTTATTTTTGTATTTATTTGAAAGGCAAAGCAACGGAGAGAGAGAGAAGAGGGGAGGAAAAAGAAATATCTTCCATCTGCTGGCTCACTCCCCAAATGGCCACAACAACCAGGTCTGGGCCAGGCTGAGGCCAGGAGCCAGGAACTCCATCTGTGTCTCCCACATGGGTGCAGGGACCCAAGCATTTGGGCCATCCTCTGCTGCCTTCCCAGGCACTTCAGAAAGAAGCTGCATTGGAAGCGGAATAGCCAGGACTCGAACTAGTACTCTATTATGGGATGCCTGTGTTCCAAGTGGCAGCTCAACCTGCTGCACCACAACACTGGCCCCGCACTATGTCATGTTATATAAGGGACTTGAATATCCTCAGATTTCAGTATCCTTGGCCAGGGGCTGCAGTGGGAGAGGGTGTACTTCCAGGAGCCAGTACCCTGCAGATGCTGAGAGATGACTGTATTTGTTTCCCCCTTCCTCTCTTTAAGGGATCGGCAAACTTTTCTGGAAAGGGCTAGATAGCAAATATTTTAGGCATTTGTAGGAGGGCCATACGAATCTCTGTGGCAACTCTTCAGCCCTGCCGTATTAGCATGAAAGTAGCCAGAGACAATGCAGTAACAAACAGTCATGGCTGTGTGCCAATAACTATTTGTGGGCACAGAAATTTGAATTTCATGTAATTTTCACGTGTCACAAAAGATGATTCTTTTGGATTTTTTCCAACCATTTAAAAATGTAAAAACCATTCTTAGTCTGTGGGCCCTACAAAAACAGCTGGTCAGCCAGATGTGACCCACCAGCCACAGTCTGCCAACCCCTGCTGTATTCCATTGCCCTTCCACATACTCCCACAGCCCCTAACCCATACTTCCTGAGTCCTTATACTGCCCCCTGCCTGCCAGCACCTCCACTGCAGTACCGGTGCTCCAGAACCAGGCACAGCTGGCCCCACGGCTAAGACTGTGTCCCTTGCTAGTTTACCCTGGTGAAAAGAAATTCAAATCATCTTGCTGATTGGATCCAGGTGCTTGTCATGCCCTGGGGAGCTCACTGTCACACTAGCTTATCAAAGTGCCTGGAGGCAGAGTCCTGAGGCTCCTGGGGGTGATGCTAATGGCACAGAATGGACCTGCCAAGAGCTCAGGCCTGATCACTCCAAGGAACCTGTCAGGATGTCTTAGGGAATCCAATCCATCACGAAAAGAAAAAGAGTAGAGGTAGCTTACATACTGGGGACATGGAAAGCCCACTGGCAACTCCCTCCTCCCCCCTCCCCACATTCTGAAATCTCTCACCCACCCACCACTGCCAGAATTCCTATTGGCTATTCCTTTGGGTTAAGACCACTGTAGTGCCTGTAAAAAAACAAATCTCTTCTTTGGGATGGAGATCCTCATGAAGCCCCCCGTCAAGCCTAAACCCCTTAGGCAGAGTTGTTCTGTCCATTTAGACTTTGGCACTGGGTGGGAAGTGCAAGTTTGAGTGGCTATTGGTAGGTAGGAGGAGGGTAAATCCCAGCCCTGAGATGTGGCCCAGTCAGGCAGAGTACTGGCTGGGGGCCTCGAATGGCCTGCTGCAATGGGTGGAAAGTGACTGGGGCTTGGTAGGGGTGGCTGTTCCAAAGGCACAAAAACAGACGTCACCTACGTCAGTTTTACCTGCTGTTGAGACTAAAGTGTCCATTTTAAATGATGATCTGTGTGCTTGTTATGGCCACAGGCGGGTCCCAGAGCATTTTCTCCTCAACATTGTCCTCCTCCCCTGGCACTGAGCCCCAGGGAATTCCAGACTCCCTCCCTGCAGAACCCAACCAATGCATGCTTTCTGTTTCCTCCTGCCTCTCCTGCTCTGCCCTTCTTTCTGTGAATGCTGGCTACCACGCGTGGGCACCAGGATGAGAAGCAATCAGCCACCACTCTCCTGGTGGGACCCCGGCACGGCATCAGCCATGTTATTGACCTCAAAACCAACCTCACCACTGTGCTGTCCGAGTTCAGCAAGATCAGCAAGATCCAGCTGTTCCGGGAGAACCAGGGCGTGGCCCGGGTGGAGACCAGCATCATGGATGCCAAGGTGAGCCCTGCGTCCAGGGGCTCTTTCTCTCTAGGAACAGGCCTCGGGAGCAGAGGGACAAGCAAGCTGGAGAGTTGGAGCCTAAGTGAGGTCAGGGATTCTAAAGCAGTTCAGACCTTTGGGCTTCTTGGGGCTTGTCTTTGGGCTTTCCTGTCCCTTCTCAACCCTCCGGGACATGCTGCTTTGGCTACATACTAGGGAATCTTCAAAAAGTTCCTGGAAAATATATATTAGGAAAAACTTGTACGTGTGTTTCAGAAGTTGGGGGACCAATGCAAGCTTATCTTTTAATTCCATTTCCCCTGAACTTTTGAAAGTGCATTTATAAGACCAGCTGGCACTTTGGGAAGGTTAGGGAGTGTCAGATCAACCCAAGAAAGTTCCTCAGCATGGGGCAGGAGAATTGGAGAGCGTGGAGCTACTCCGCAGCCATTGCTTGCCCTCTCTCTCCCCTGTCATAGCGCACGTAGCAAATGATATTCCCAAGGCACCTGGAGGTAAATGGAGCAGCACCAGAGACCCTGGCCACTCCAGGCCCAGGCTGACTACCCCAGAGGCTGAAGGGATGAATATCTTGGCTCATCACGACCTGTTCTGGCTACACAGCAGTTACGAAGCCCTGCCATAGGCAAACATGCTTTGAATCATGGAGGGATAGGGAGGTGTTGGGAGGCAGGGTGTGGACAGAACCAAGGGGGCCTGGGGAGACAAGGATCAGGCAGAGCCTTGTCCCCATTTCACCTCCCAGAGTCCAGCTCTTCCAGAACCTTAGAGCCTTTCCTGTCGAGCCTCTCCTTCCAGCTGGCAAGCAGCTGTGGCCTGTGCCGAGCCTGGCAGCTGCGGTCAGCCACCCCCTCTGCAGCTCTCCTGTTGGAACACAGTGACAGTGTGGGCGGAGGGCAGGCCTGCTCGCCAGCTAGCCAACTAGCAGAGGCTTAGAGGAGGTGCAACTTTCCTTTCTGAAAGGATTTCTCAGGGGTGGGCGTTGTTAACAGATTAAGAGGTGGAGTGTTTGCTCTTTCTAAAAGAGCGAATTATTTATTTTTGTATTTGGAAAATCCAGAAAGCTTTAATATGTTAATTTTCCACCTGTGACTCCCAGAATTCCCATTGGCTTAGGCACTTGATTGGAGCTGATATTTGATTGGCTTGTGGCCACGTCTTCAACCAATGGTGGCTGCCCTCCTCAGATGTTGTTGGGTAAAAAGCCAAATGGACTGGTAGGGAAGGGGGAAGAAAAACCAGGCATGCAGGAGAGGTGTGGCTTCCTGAGAAATAAAAGCAATTTAAAAACAAAGAAACAGCTTTCCACCTGAGTCAGGGAGTGAGTCTCCACATTGGCTGTACTCTAGAATTTCCTTAAGAACTTTCAAAAATACAGATGTCTGGGTCCTATTCCCAGAGATTAGGATTTCATTGGTAGGGAGTGCAGCCTGGGCATGGGATCTGTTTATTTTTCCCAGTTCTCTAGGTGATTTTGTAGTGCAGGCAGTTAGAGTGTATAAGGTTGAGAGCAGAGATGTGGGGAAAAACAGGCCATGCAGGGCATTGGTGGACATTGCCTGAGTGAGGAATACTGTGCATATTTCTACGACTAAGACAGTCACGGTTGTGGGCAGGAGTGCTGCCCTAGAGGGGCTACATTCTTCCTGGGGAGACAAGACTTATAAAGCATACAACATGCTTTAAGAACACATCAGAATATATGTAGAGAGAACTCTGGGCTCAGACAGACCAGGTTCAAATCCCAGCTCTATGGCTTCCTTGCTGTGTGGCCTTGAGAAAGCATCCTAACCTCTATGCACCCTGATTCCCTCAACTGCAAAGTGGAGCACTATCTTGAAAGGTTGTTGTTAGGATTCAATGAGAAAATGTCTGTAAGGTGTCTTAGCACACTATGTGGCACATAGTGTGTACTCAAATAATGAAACTTATTTTTTAAAGCAAAATATCAGTAAAGAAAAAGTAATGTGAAGAAATGTTTACAGATAAGCTTGTGTGGAACATGGAGCATCAAAACAGGAAGGAGTTAACTAGAACTGGCTTCCCACAAGAGTGTTTTAATCTGGATCTTGAAGTGATAGGCATGAATTACCAGAGAGAAGTGGGATGTGTTCAAAGGCAAGGAGCAAGCACAGAAATAAGCAAGCCATATGTGCAGGTCGATAAGCATAGTTGCTTGGCTGGAGAGGAGGATAATGAGAAAAGAGATCAGAGAGATTGGGGATGAGCAGAACAAGTTGCTTAAGAGCCTGAAAGGCCAGGCCAAGGGATTCAGATTCAGTGTGGTAGACTACAGGGAATCCACTGTCGGTCCTTGAGCAGGGGGTGACAGAGTGATGGCTGACTTGGACCTGGGAGCATGAGTGTGAAGCCCGGGAGGTGAGGAGAGGATGATTTAACTAGTCTAGGCGAGAAGTGGTGAGAGCTTCAGCTGGAGGTATGATAGTGGTAAGGAGAAAGAGCAGGTGTGAAACCTGCAGGGTCATTAAGATGTGAGTGCATATCCTCGCTCTCACACCTTTCTTGCACTGACGATGCACACATCTAGTTATACCTTCTCCTCCTATTGCCTACTGCCCGGATCCCAAGTGCACTGAAGGATAATGCCATTCGGACAGCTCTCTACCAAATTATGAGTAGGTGCATGAGGGAGACTATTATGGGATAGATGGAAGGTGTTGTAGATGAATGGAAGACACTAGGGTTATGTTTTGCAAGTGGGAAACAATGAATGGTTAGATGGTATGACTTCTCAGAGATACAAACATCAGATAGGGTATAGTGGGTTTCAAGTGTGCCCCTAAACTTTAAGCAGCTGATAAAATATATGTGAAAAACCACAGGAGCATTATCCACTTGATGTCAGAATATTTTTACTTTATAATACGATTTACCATGTACAGTGGGCAGAATAATGGCTTCCCAAAAATGCTTACGCCCTAATCCTCAGAACCTATGAATATGCTAAGTCATATGGGAGAGTGGTGGGCTGGGGATTAAGTTTGTAGATGGAATTAAGATCACTAATCATGTGACCTTAAAATGGGACGATTAGCCTAGACTATCCAGGTGAGCCCAATATATTGCAGAGTCCTTACAGGTGGGAGAGGAAGCAGAAGAGAAGTTAGGGATGTGATGTGAGAAGGACTCAGCCTGACCCTGCTGGCCTTGAAGATGGAGAGCAGGGTCAGGAGTGAAGGGGTCTGGGAGGCCTCCAGAAACTAGGAAAACCAAGGAAACCGATTCTACCCTAGATCCTCCAGCCTACACCTGAGGTTAGCCCAGTGAGCCTGGTGTCAGACTGCTGGCTTCCAGAACTTAAAGAGAATAGATGTATGTGTATTATTTAAACCACTATGTTTGCAGACACTTCTAATAGCGGCAACAGGAAATTGATACACCAGGCGATTCCTTCAGTAGCAAGTACTCATCCAATATACTGAAGATATGATTTGATGGCTACACATTCTGCTCCCACTCCACTTTTGTTTTTTACATAGAATCAGATGTACCTGTAATCAGAGCTGGCTACTGCCTTATGCATTATAAGCTCAAGTGCATGCCCCCATGGAATAGACCACGTAGCATTTATCTGTATCTCATAAATTGGCAGAGGCAAGATGGATGACATAGTGGTAGGAGGAAGAAACGAAGACTTGAAGGAAGAGAAAAAGATCAGAGGTTTCAATGTAATAGTTTAGTACGAACTTGCTGTTGCTAGGAAGCAAACTCAACACAATGTCAGATGCAAAGGTACTTTTTAAAGGAAAGGGGAAAAAAATGGCTCCTTCCATCAAGATACTTCCTAACTTGTAGGAAAGCAATGAGCAAGTACATGGCAGAGGGCTGCTGTGGTGAGGAGCAGAAGCCAAGGAGCAGGTCTTGGGGGGCCAAGGGCAGCCCTGGCTCCAGCGGCCATGGCACTGAGCTTGCTGGTGAGAGAAGCTCTTCTGGGGCAAGCAAGCGGACAAGAAGCAGTGCCCGATGAAGGCAAACCACAGCAGCACAACAGGGAGCTGGCCAGTGAGCTGCCCGGGGCAGTGCCTGGTCCTAATGGCCTGGGTGTGCTTCCTCGCAGACAGGCAGCCTTATAAAGCTGTCTGCAGTTAGGAAATAAAACCTTTTCCAATTCCCACGACAACAGCAAAATACATGCAAGACTGATAAAGGTACTGTAGGAGAAGTAGCAAGAGACGGTTAGAGGAAGTCAAACCCTGGCTGGTGGATTAAGGAGAGTTTCCTGAAAGCAGTAGTACTTGTGCTGACTGAGAGGTGCCTCTGGGGAGGACTTGGGGGAACAGCAGTTGGGAGCTCCCTAGTGGAGCAAATGGCTTGCCTAGGCTCCATGGGATCCACCCATGGCATCTGCGGTGTGCAGGAGCCACCCCCACAGGTGCGTCAGAGCCAGTCAGTCCCTTTCCTCCCAACTCTGCCTTCCTGGACTTCACACTGCAGTGCTGGGAATATGTGCGCCAGGGCAATTAGCCAACACTACAGCTCAGAACCTGAAAGGAGTGGCTGGGACACCTTTACTGGCCGCTGCATAGTGTACACGGAAGGAAGGCCGACTTTATTTCCTTAATAGGGAACATGGAAATTAGAAGCCAGATTTGGCTCTTTTTCCCCCTAGAAATGCTGCTGTGGCCTGGGAATATTCTGGAATGGTCTGGTGAAAATAAGATTTTTCATTGACAGCAGTTCTCAGCTCTGACCACAAATGAGAATAATGAATAAAAATGTAGAAACCACCAGATGCCCATGCTCTTCCTCCTAAACCATTTCAATCAGAATTTCTGAGGGTGCAGCCCAGGGTGATTCCGAGGTGATTCTAATGTGCACTTGACCCAAGAAGCACTGCCTTAAGTGATGTTCTGCCTTCCCCCCAAATTGGCTGGCTATGCCCAATTAGCCTTTCCCTGTGCTGAAGAGGCAAGAACCCAAATGCACTGCCCCCCTAGGACTCAAAGACCGTTATCTCGTACCCTTGTCCTCCAGGTCCCTGGATTCTCATCTGTTTCCTGTTGTCAGGGATGCTAGAGTGAGCCAAGGCTACCTCTGGGCACCCGGGAAGGAGATACAGCTGGAGCATGGCAAATTAATCCCTGCTGTACCTTCTCGCTGGCTCATGCCTCAAACTCTGTTCTCTTTATCTTATTTTTCCACTTGAAGATGACCTGAACAGATTTAGTTACAGTTTTCACTCAGCTTACTGGTTCATATGGAGCGAACATGAGGTAGTGTTCCAATGTCTTTCTCCAAGAGACGGCAGTCTGGAACTGAGACACCACTGAGCCATTACCATACCCCATTATCACAGAAGCACATAAGGGGGAAAGGGAAACCATCAAAGGAAATATCCCAAAGGATCTCTTGTGGCCCAGTGTGTCTCCTATTCTCAGGTGTGAGCTTGATTGCTCTAGTGCTTTCTGTAGGGACAAGCATTACTTTACACATCACGGTCATTAAAATCCTATTTAAAAGAAAATGGTCTTTAAGGTTTCTAAGAAACCTATCCAACCTCTTGGCTTGCCTACCTTGGATTTGATTTACACCCCTGCTGACAAAAAAGCCCTTGGGTGTTCTGTTTAGCAGTTGCGCTTGGCCTGTGCTGGGGCCCAGCTGGCTGTCTGAGGATGCTTAGGAGTAACTCTCAATGTGCTGTGTGTCTCATGCTGAGCCACCCGAGGATGTGCTTGGCCCTCTCTGTGCGCAGGATTTTGCCTTTGTGCTCTTTTATTAGCAACATCAGCCTATGTGAAGGGTAAGAGGGGAGACTGAAATGAAGTCAGATAGTTATGTCAATCAGTCGCGTAGTCACCTGACCTCCGGTCAGTAATTCTGCCCATTAGCCAGCCAGGTAGCTAATAGTTGGAATGTGAGGCTCTGGGGGCATTCTGCCTGTCCTGAAGCCAGCTTGTCAGCTAGGGTACGAGTGAGTCAGACTGCCCTGCAGCCAGCCAGCGCATCAGTCTATCCATCAGTCAGCCTGCCACTTAGCCTGTGCTTTGATCAAATGATCCCTCATTCTATTTGTCAGCCAATGCCATTTCCTCAAAGAGCTTTCTCCAGCTTCTGAAACCAAATTAGTCACATACAGACACATGCACACACACACACACACTCCATTCCGGAACATTCTATGTGTTGCTAGCTCTCTGAACTTTGCCTTCACAGAGCTTGTCATACCTCACAGTCATTTCCATTGGTGTGATCATTTTGTTTATGTCTTATTTGCTGCCAGAGTATTAGCTCCATGAGGGCAGGAACTGGGTTGGCCCCATTCTGGGATGAATGGATGTGTCTCTCACATTGGTTGTGCTCTACATGCGGCATCTAGCTGGTTTGTAGCCACTTGCTGGGTGGACGAAGCAGGGCAGGAGAAGCATTCCAGCCAGAGGGAACAGCCTAGGATAAGGTATGAAAGTGTGGAAGAACATGATGAGCTGCAAATCGTGTGAATGAGCACAAGGTGATGGCCACTGAATGGAGGAGGACACAGGCAGAGGTAGAGATATGGTTGGAAATGTAGGCTGCGTCCAGGCCTTGAAGGGTTTTGTATACCACTGAAAGGCAGATGGAGTTTGTTCTTTCTTAAAAGATTTATTTATTTGGACACCAGAGTGACAGAAAAAGAAATGGAAAAGTAGAGAGACAGAGAGACGTTTTATCTGCTGATTCACTCCTCAGATGCCCACAACAGCCATGGCTGGACCGGGTCGAAGCCAAGAGCCAGGAACTCCATGGATCCAGGTCTCCCACGTGGGTGGCAGGGGCCATCTTCTGCTTTCCCAGGTGCATTAGCAGGGAACTAGATCAGAAGTAGTGCCCCTGAAACTCAGACCAGCAGTCTGATATGGGTTACCAGCATTGCAGGTGACAGCTTAACCCACTGTACCACAACGCTGGCCCCAATTTATTCTTTAGGTGATAAGCTCTACTGAAAGATTTCAAATGGCAGTGAGACTTGCACTTTCAAAAGACCCCGCAGTCAGGACCTTTGGGGTGAAGTGATTAAAGACTGGAGGCAGAGAGGCCAATCAAGAGAGCCCTGGAAGTGCTCAGCTTAATGTGTCCCAACATTTTCCAGGTCGTGTGAAAATGCTCCAATTTTCTGTAACAAAAAAAGAAGAGAGAGAGAGAGCCAAGACTACATACATACATAGATGCGGCAATTTGAGTCTGGCAACAGGACTCAGAGGCTGAGAGCTTCAGTGTCTCGGCACACTCGCCATCCATGTGACATACCTGAAGAGGTCTGGGTCTGTGAGGAAGATGATGAGGGCCTGCACTAAAGCAGTGGCAGTGAACGTAGCTGGCTGCAATGTGTATGAGTGCTCCCAAGGAAAGCTCAGTGAATGGCGGTAGCAGCACTCTGCACTGAAACCTCCGTGTGTCCCTCTGCCATTGGTGCTCAGTAGTGAGGCAGGAAGGGGCATCTAACTCCCTCCAGCCCAGTTCTACCCCGTTGACCTTCACTTTGTTGTATATAGGCTGATCATTGTGTTGTGACTGCGAAGCAACCATTAATGGGAAGTGAGAACATACCCTGTGGCTTTCCTAATAATGCCTCAAAACTCTTCATGCTATCCCTTCCTTTAAAAAAAAGATTTATTTATTTATTTGAAATTTCTTTTATTTTTATTTATTTGAAAGACAGAGTTAGAGAGGTAGAGACAGGGAGAGAGGTCTTCCCTCCTGCGCTGATCTGAAGCCAGGAGCCAGGAGCTTCCTCTGGGTCTCCCACGTGGGTGCAGGGGCCCAAGCACTTGGGCCATCCTCTACCGCTATCCCAGGCCATAGCAGAGAGCTGGGTCAGAAGAGAGCATCTGGGACTAGAACTGGCGCCCATATGGGATGTCGGTGCTTCAGGCCAGGGTGTTAACCCACTGCGCCACAGCGCCAGCCCCATTTATTTATTTGAAAGTCAGAGTTACACACAGAGAGAAGGAGAGGCAGAGAGAGAGAGAGATCTTCCATCCACTAGTTCACTCCCCAATTGGCTGCAACAGCTGGAGCTGGGCTAATCAGAAGCCAGGAGCTAGAGACTTCTGGATCTCCCACGTGGGTGCAGGGGCCCAAGGACTTGAGCCATCTTCTACTGCTTTCCCAGGCTACAGCAGAGAGCTGTATCATAAGCGGAACAGCCGGGACTCAAACCGGCTCCCACATAGGATGCCGGCACCGCAGGTGGCGGCTTTACCCACTACACCACAGCTCCGGCCTCATCTCTTCCTTTTCATTGAATTGGGCACTTACCCTCATGGGGCCTAATCACCTCTCTCCTAGACTGTTGCTGTAGCCCTCTTGGTGGTTAGAGAAAGGTCTTATTCCCTTTTCTTAATTCTTCTAATTCTTAATGGTTGGTCTGGGGACCCCCAAAGGTCATGGAGACCCATAGCCTCATGGGTCCCTCTTTAGCATGTCTTCAGTGGCCTTTATCTGGAAACACACTGCTCTATCCCAGGAGGAATCCCAGACTTCACTCTGACTGAAATTAATCAAGCTACACTTTTTTAAAAAAAATATTTATTTATTTATTTATTTGAAAGGCAGAGAGAGAGAGAGAGGGAGAGAGGTCTTACATCCACTGGTTCACTCCCCAAATGGCCACAACAGCCAGAGCTGAGCCGATCTGAAGCCAGGAGCCTCCTACAGGTCTCCCATATAGGTGCAGGGGCCCAAGAGCTTTGGCCATCTTCCACTGCTTTCCCAGGCCATAGCAGAGAGCTGGTTCAAGTGGAGCAACCGGGACTCAAACCAGCAGCACCCATTTGGATGCCAGCACTGCAGGCAGCAGCTTTACCTACTACACCACAAAAAGCTCCACTTCTAGAATTATACATGTAATAGAGATATCAGGAAGTTTTCTTGAAAAGGTGCTTTTTTTTTTGTATATCATTGCTGATCCTCTGTTAATCCCAGGATAATTCTGATTTTAGGATTAGGAACAGAAATCAATAAACTCTGCTGTATTTACCAAAGTGAATTGAAAGCAACAATGGCCCTAATATGATATTTTCTATAAAAATAGATCCTGGTGGTCTAATAAATTTGGAGAACTTGGACTACTAAAGCTCTCCCCTTGAACTTTCACAGCTCATGTTAATATATTAAAAGATCCAAGCATTCTCATAGTAAAACCCTCTTCATACACTAACCCAGTGTCACAAACATATTTGACTAAGGAGTTCTTTTAAGAAGGGGAGAGCAGAACGATCTGAGCAGGGCTGCAGGGCAGAAAGACTTTGGCCCCAAAAGACACGCTTAGGGCTCGATTCCATGGAGTGTCTTCTATGTCCCAGAATCTGTTCTGAGTGTTACCGGGGAATATAGTGAGCTGAACAATAGTTCTTGTACCTGAGGTACTTAGAGTCAAGGACGCTCCAGGTTTCCCTCAGTTTAGCTCAGTCTTCCAGTTTTACCCCTCCTCTCCCAGCTGCCTTGCACATCTGCTGAACTCTGAAAAACACAGATACAGCCACACAGCAGTCACAGGCTATTACCTAATTTTAGCCTTGGTCAGTAAAGGTGGTTCATTAAGTGTGTGGTTTAAAGTGAACCTTGTCCTGATACTTGCATTAAGAGTTTACTGCAAAGAAATTCCCACATCAGAAGAAACTATTTGTCAGGCCTGGATTTGAGGCTAAGAAAGTATGTCTCTGTAGCCATGCAAGTCACCAGCCTAGTGCGCCTGCCTCGCTCCGACCTGGGTATTCATGTTTCTTTTCGTTTCCCCCTGCAGCCTCTGGTGCTGTTGATGGAGTGGCCGGAAGCCACCAATTTTGCCTGCCTGATTGCGGGGTACTGCCGCCTCCTGCTGGATTCCAGGAAGATGATCTTCTCCAGGCCTGCAAGCCAGCCTCTTCCGCCTCCAATGATCAAGGCAGGTAGGGCTCAGCCTCGGTTTTCGGTATGCCGGAAGCCCTTCAGACCCTGGAGGCATAGAGAGCTAGAGGGAGGAACTCTGCTGCCTTAATGCTCACCCCATGCTGATGTCTTCTGGTTTACCAGTAGCCGGCGCTGTGGCACTGCGTCCTACCTGGCGCATCCTAGTAGGAGAGACAGCTGGCTGTCACATGTGCCTTCTGCATAAAAGGATGTCTGTGCCCACACATTGTGATTGACTCAGTGAATGAACGTAAGATAAAAATAGCAAACAAGCAATAAATAGAGCCAATTATAGAATCGTGTTGAATCTAAGGCAGATCTTTGGAGACAATGGAGATATAGAGGAGATTCATGCATGTTTGGGCTTGGTGGAAGTGGGATTGAAAAATGAAAGGAAAATGTCTTGTGCTGGTGTTGTTCATCATAGCAGGGATTGAAAGAGCTGTCTGAAGTATGGAGCCTTTGAGGGCTGGGGTAGGAAGGCTGTGCAGGCCCAGAAGAAGGGTTTGGAGTTAGGAGGGGACAGTCATTAAAAAAACAAGTTCAAGTGCAGCCCCCAAACAGCAGGCTTCCCAGATGGGCAGCTCAATGCTGCCAATCCCTCAGAGCTGTCTGAGTGATGGCACGAAGAGAAGAAGCCTTGGGGAAAATCAGCCCAGTCCAGGAACTGCTGTCTAGACAGAAGTGGAAGGAGAAAGAAGTGACCCAAAAAGCAGATACACCATGTACCAGTCCTTAAGTTTCACATAGATGCTTTAAGGACTCCTCTGCAGCCCAGCTTCCAAACATCACAAGTGCAGCTGAGACTTAACACCCAGCAGTAGCCCTCTCCTCATGCTGCGCACTTGATCTACCTGTCCTTACCACTTGACTGTTTCTTCTCCCTTCTTCAAGGCTGCGTTGGTTTTCGGAGTGGGCACATCTGATCTAGATCTAGGTTTTGGAGAGTAGAAAAACACTCCTGCTGGATGAGCCAGCACGCAGAGGCTGTGTACCCCCTCCCACACATACATCCTCTCAACTCATTGTCTCCTCATCATGAACCAGCCCATCATGAGCATCATATGCCCAAGTTGACATCTCATAACATTGTCCACAGAAAGTAAGAGGGAAACGGTCAAACACAGATTTGGGAATTGTGGGGAGCAGCTCGGACTAGACTGTTACTGGAATTAGGACTTATTCTATGCATCTGCTCTCCCACAATATGGCGCTGGGAGAGAAGTAAACAGCTTCCGCACAGCTGCCTCCAGTTCAACCAATTAACTGTAGGACTTGCTCCTGATTGGAGAGCAGCGTACTCAGCCGAGTTGGGATTGGCGGAGGAGGACTATAAAGGAGGAGAGAGACGGCATGCACCAGGGAACATCTATGGGGAACATCTAAGGGAACCCGTGCAGCCCCCAGAGAGCCGGCCGGCGGTGTGCCGCTCCCCTGCGGAAGTGGGGAATGCGGCCAGGGGGAACTGCCCTTCCACGGAGGTGGAAGGGATAGTAGCCAACCCGGGAAGAACCAGCAGCAAACCCGGGGAGGGCCGAGCAGATGAAAGAACAGCGCAGGGTTCAGTGTTGCTCCTCCACGAAGAGGGGGAGCGACATAATGGTGCCGTGACTCGGATAGGAAACCTAGCTCGGATTAGGAAACCTAGGACGGATATGAAACTTAGGAGGGAAGAAACGGGAAGAACTGGGAAAATATCGGAGAGAGAGACTAGCAAACAACCTAGGGAAAATATCGGAAAGAGACTAGCAAACAGCCTAGGGAAAAGCCGGACGAAAAAGGAGCCGGAAGAAGTTATTGAAAGCCTAGGCATAGATTCGGATACGGACTGTGGGAAAGAAGTTAGGGTCGAAAGCGAAAGTGAAAGCTAGAACAAACAGACTCGGATGCAGACTGTGGGGAGAGGCCAGGAGAAATGAGGGAGGAGTATTGTTGGAAGAAAGCTTGGGGAAACATACCGGGTAGAGAAAAATGCTAGGGAAATTGAAGCCGCGGGGGGCAGGCCAAGGCGGAAACGAAAGCCACTTTGGGATTCTCAAGTTAGCCCGGGAATAGGGGGCGAAAAGTTAAAACCAGAAGCTGAGACGCAAGCCAGATTGGGATCCGTCTGATTAGCCCGGGGAGCAAAGGACGGGAAGCCAGATCGTGGGGCGGAGACGTACGCTGGGTTGAATTCGCCAGGCTAGCCCGGGGAACTTAGATTGAATCCTAGTGGAGGAGACGCAAGCTACGCTGTGTTACTCGCGGAAGCCGCCGCGTGCAGAGAGAGCACGGGACGTGAATAGATAGGGAACGCTGGCGTAGGCCGTGGTTCAGACGCGAAAGGGTTAAGCGTGGAGACCGCGGACCGCGCAAAGCCGGGAAGCCGCGCAGAGAGGCGCGCGGGCTGAAGCGGCGCAGAGCCGGGAACCCGCCGGCGGGGCGAGGTGCCGGAAAGCCGCAGGGATAAGAGAAACAGAAGTTTGGAAGTGAAGTAAAAGAGAAATGGGAATGCTGGAAGATAGAAGTGAAATGGGAGAAATAGAAATGCCCGGAGATAGAGAAATAGAGAAAAATAAGGCCTCCCCTCAACATGCCAATTAGGAGGCTTGGATTCGGTCTGCCTGATTTAAGGCGGTAAGCGCCAGCAAAGCTCGACCAGAGTATGAGCTGCAGGTCACCGAAGATAGGCACAAATCAACACTAATAAGTCTCCCCCACAATACGGCAATGAGAAGGCTTGGATTCGGTTTGCCTGATAGGTTTTGTAAACACCTGCAGGCAGTTCTAGCAGAGCAGAGTATGCGCTGCAGGGCACCGAACACAGGCACGCATCAGCGCCTAAAAACCTCCTCACAATGGCGAAGAGAGGACCCGGATTCGGTTTTCCTGATTGATAGGACTTGTAAGAGCCTGTGGCAGCTCTAGCAAGTAGAGCAGAGTGTGTGCCGCGGGACACCGAAGACAGGCGCGTATCAACGCCAAAAATAAAAAGAAAGGGGGATCTGTGGGGAGCAGCTCGGACTAGACTGTTACTGGAATTAGGACTTATTCTATGCATCTGCTCTCCCACAATATGGCGCTGGGAGAGAAGTAAACAGCTTCCGCACAGCTGCCTCCAGTTCAACCAATTAACTGTAGGACTTGCTCCTGATTGGAGAGCAGCGTACTCAGCCGAGTTGGGATTGGCGGAGGAGGACTATAAAGGAGGAGAGAGACGGCATGCACCAGGGAACATCTATGGGGAACATCTAAGGGAACCCGTGCAGCCCCCAGAGAGCCGGCCGGCGGTGTGCCGCTCCCCTGCGGAAGTGGGGAATGCGGCCAGGGGGAACTGCCCTTCCACGGAGGTGGAAGGGATAGTAGCCAACCCGGGAAGAACCAGCAGCAAACCCGGGGAGGGCCGAGCAGATGAAAGAACAGCGCAGGGTTCAGTGTTGCTCCTCCACGAAGAGGGGGAGCGACAGGAATGGATAGGCTCCTCCTAACCTAGAGAAGCAAAGAAACTGACCTGGAACAGGAAGAAACTAGGGGGTGAATTGCTGCACCTCTCCAGGTGAATAGCTCTGAAGATACAGTCATACTGGCAGACCTACAGATAGGCAAATTCTGGAAAAGCCGATGTTAGCGCTGTCAGTGTCACCTGTGAGCCTCCTCATTCTAATCTTGTCCTGGTAGACTCTGCCATTTACTGAGCAGGAGAGACAAGGAGAAAGGGAAAAGGGAAGGAGCATTCTGGCGCTTAGCCAAGGACCAGATGTGTCAGGGAGCATTGTTGGGGGATTTCCACTTTCTGAAAGCAGTGGGGGTGTGCTGTAGTCCTACCCTGCCTGACAAAGGGTTTCTGGCATTCAATCATCACTTTAGCCATTGCTGGCCCTCTGAGGGTAGTGGTACCAAGTGAGGAACATGAGCTTCCTGTGTCCCTGGAACCTCACTGAATATATTCCATGTTGCTTCCCTGCTGCTTTTGCATAGGCAAATCCGTTTCATTGGACTCTCTTGTACTAGATACGGCTTTAGAGCCACCCCGCCCCGCCCCGCACCACCCGATTCCTGAGAGTCCCATCGGGCCTACAGAGTGATGGAGGTTCAAACAGTCTCTAGCACAGGGCCCTCTACATGCATGCAGGAGTCGGATGAGCTACCATGGGATCTCTGCTGCTTGTAGTGCTTCTTCTTGGGGTGGAAAAAAGTGGAAACCGGTAACTCAGGGGAAGAGGCAAGTAGAAAGCCTCTGCTCTTCCTTCCTTCTTCTCACCAGAAAGATGAAAACTTGAACTTGGCATCCTCTCTCCAGGGACTTGGTTCGAGGCTTGGGCCCCGTTTGTTGGCTTTTTGGACTGCTAGATCCTGGATTGACAGCAACCACCTGGTACTCTTTGTGGGTGAGGTGGGGTGACCCGCATAGCTCTGCCTCAGGTCAGAGCTGCCACCACTACCCCAGCAAGCTGCAGGGCTGCTGCGTGTATCTTCCCTCCTGGTTTCTAGGAAGGGTGGGGCACCACTGAGGAGAACTCAGTTCAGGTGACAGTGGAAGGACCATAGGTTCCTGGTCTTATAGACCTGGAGGACCAAAATCCAAAGTTGAAATCCGTTTCCTTCCTCAGCCCTCATATTCCTCCCAGGACAGCAGCCCCACTGCTGACTGATATTCTTCAGCAAAGGGAACTGTCATCCTCCCAACTTCAGACCAAAGCCCTAGCCCACTTGGGGCCTGGTGCCTCTGCAAAGGAGGAAGATATGTATCTTCTTGTCCCACCGTGGCTGCTGGTGCAACTCGGCACTCAGCCTTAGACCCGGTAGTCTAAAGGATGCTGTTAAGTCGGCAACTGGCAAAGAGAAAGCATTACTCTCTTCCAGACACAGGAAGAAAAGAATGAGGAAGTGGTAAGGAAGGACTTTCCTCTTGGACTGTGTCAGCAGTTTCCACAGAGTAGGTGTTACACTTATTCGCTCACCAAGTATTTCTCAAGGACTTACGGTACAGCCACAAGTAACAGACATTGTCTTTTGTTTC